CCCCAAAACCCCAAAACCCCAAAACCCCAAAACCCCATTTTACCAAGTTTGGGAATATAATTAAATCTTAACCAACAAATGGGTAACGAAGAATATAAAAAATGGGCAGCCGCCGGAATTGCTGGTCTTATCATTGCTTATTCCCTATACAGGCTAGCTTCGAGAGGAAGCAAGCCTCCTGTTGAGAACCAAGAACCTGAAGAGGAGAGAATTGATGGTACTATTCACCTTTTTTACTTTAGATAACGAAGAAGATATTATCCATGTGGATCCACAGAAAGAAGAAAACATTGAGCTCTCTAAAAAGGATGCACTGTTCAGAGCTGAAGCTGTATCTGACTGCAAGTATGATCTTGTCCTGTCCTTCCTCAAGAATGATAAGACCTACGAGGGATACAATAGAATTTCATTCACCTTTAAAGTAAGATTTTTCCTTTACCAGGCTCTTTTGAAATAAAAATTGAATATACCTGTTTGCACTAGAATTCCTTAGGGATAATCTCATGCTTTCCTTCTAGGGAGATGGCAAGCAAGAGCTGTTCCTCAATTACAAGGGTGATTCGATCTATTACATCAAAATTAACGGAAAGAAGATTTCAGCCAAGGAGAATATCTTTAGAGAAAACAAGGTCTATCTTCCTACCAAATATCTGCAGGAGCACAATATCGTGGATATTAGGTTCAAGGGGATCTACAGAAAAGACGGAAATGGGCTTCACTATTACGAAGATCCTGATGATAATGAGATCTATCTGTACACTCAATTCGAGACTTTCCATGCTTCAAAATGTTTCCCTTGCTTTGATCAGCCTGATATCAAAGCTACGATGAAGCTTAGATCCTTCTCACCAGGAGACTGGAAGGTAGTCACGAATGAATTTGAGAACGAGACTACCAATTCGGCAGATATTTATAACAGATTCTTGGCAGATATTGGCTGCCCTGAAGATGTCTACACTAGATTCGAAGAGGACGATAATATGCTATTCAGACAATTCAATACCACCTTGAAGATCTCTTCCTACCTCTATGCATTCGTGGTCGGTCCTTATGTCTATGAGAAGAACAATCATCCAAATGCAAAGAATTATGTCCCCATGAGAGTTATGGCAAGAAAAAGCGTAATGAAATACGTCAAATGTGACGACTTCTTCCGCATTACCATGTCTGGAATGGACTATTACGAAAAATTCTTCGGTGTAAAATACCCTTTCAACAAGTATGACCAAATCTTTTGTCCTGAATTCAATGCTGGAGCCATGGAGAATGTTGGATGTGTCACTTACACTGAAAGTTACCTCTTCAGAGGAGAAGTTGTTCCACAAAGTGATAAAGAACAACTTGCCATCACCATTCTTCATGAGTTGGCTCATATGTGGTTTGGTAACCTTGTCACAATGAAATGGTGGGATGATCTCTGGCTTAATGAATCCTTTGCAACTTTCATGTCACACATGGCAATGGCCTATGGAGAAAATCTTGACGATTATACTCTTTCATGGGAAATATTCCTATTTGATAAATCATGGGGACTCAAAACTGATGAATTTTCCACGACACATCCTATTGCCGCTAGCTGCGATACTACCGAGGATGCCGACAACATATTTGATGGTATATCATACGGTAAAGGAGCTGCATTCTTGAAACAATTGGTAGCTTTCCTATCTGAAGGAGTATTCAGTGCAGGTCTGAAGACTTACTTCTCCAAATATGCTTTTCAAAATACCGAACTTAAGGACTTCATTGGAGAACTCCAGAAATCAAGCGATAGTGCTGGACAAGGTATTGATGTAGTCAGCTGGGCTGGATCATGGATCTCTACCTCTGGATTCAATGTAATTGAGCCTGTTCTCAACCTTAGTGCAGATGGAAGCATTGTGGACTCATTTACTATCAAGCAAACTCTATCAGACCATGGGGAGAATTGTCTCAGAGAACAACAGATTAAAGTAGCTTTATTCAACTCTGACTTCGGAATTGAGGAGATCATCAATGTGAGAATCAAAGCTTCTGATTTCACTCTTGTCACAGAACTTGAAGGAAGACAAGCACCACACGCTATTTTGCTGAACTACGAAGATTGGGGATATGGAAGATTCCTGATCGATGACAGAAGTATGAACGCATTCCAAGAAGGTGTTTCTAAGATTGAAAGCAGTCTTTCTAGAAAGTTGATTCACAACACCTTCTTTGCAATGACTAGAGATGGTCAAATCTCTGCTCATGATTTTGCTAATCTCATAAAGAAGCAGATTCCGCAAGAAACTAACCAAGATATTGTACTTGAACAACTTAGATACAATCTCAGAGTCATCTTTAAGAACTATATCCCAGGAGAATATGAGGTAAAGGAAGCTAGCGAGATGTTCGATTTCTTGCTAAAAGAATTCCTCCCAGCCACTGATAATGAACAGATCCAACAGATCATTGTTGAAGGTAAGTCTTCTTGAAACCAAACTCTCTCTGTATAATAGACTAAATTTTGGGCTATCTCAGGGGAAGAAATAGTTTAAATTTTTTCAAAAATATATAGTCTTTTTCTTCAAACAAAATATTAGCAAAATATAATCTTAATGGAATTTTGTCATACCTTATTTGATATCTTTCAGGCCATAATTTCGAAGAGTTGAATAATGAAATTTCCGCTTTTTCATAACCAGCTTTGAATATTTCTTAGAATATCTTCTTCATAAAGCTCAAATTTGGCCATCCATTCTGTTATTAGCTCTCTTAAACGAAAAGGTTTGTAAAAATAGATAGATTAACATCCATTTTTCACATAAAAAGTGTAAAGCTTATTGCAAGGACTTTAGCTCATAACCATCTCTAACTTAAAAATAGGTTGCATCAGTATCTCCAGAAGTGAAGAACATTTCAGAATCGTAAGCATCTAAACTAACCCATTTAGCTTAAATCATGGCTTGAAACAGGCCAGATCTCTGCAGAAATCAACGGAGAGCACAGAGTCTTTGAAGAAATCAAGCTGTCTCCTGAAGATAAACATTTCATTCTCAAAAAGATTTCTACCTCAGTTGAGACACCCAAAGATGAGGTTGTCAAGTTCTACGAAAAACACCTTGAGAATGATGAAAACAAAGACCTTGCAAGAAAATGTAAGCTCTCATGTGAAGCTGCCATCAATGATAGAGATAGCAAGGTCAAGCACTGGAAGCTAATCACTTCTTCCAAATCTGGCCTTGGAGCTCAAGATCAGCAAGCCATTATGTCTACTCTGATGCCTAAGAATCAATATGAAATTGTCAAGGACCTGATCGGTGAGTTCTTCAAGATAGTCCCAAAGCAGTTCAAGACTAGAGAAAAAGATGATAGAGATTTGTTCTTCTTCTTCCTGAGCCCAAATAAATTTGCCACTGAAGAGCTCTTAGAGAAATACAAGGCTCTTTTGACCCACAAAGACGCCACAAAATCCTTAATCAACAAGACAAAGGATGATATTGAAAGAATCGAGAAAGCCTTGAAGGGACAGAAGACCTATCTCGAAGGACTTGAAAAGATGGGAGATCTGAAAGCTAACATCTAACATGTTACTTTCTCTTCAAAATGTTTAGTGAGCATTCAACCATAGTCTTGGGAATTACAAACCTGCCAAAATGAGGCTAAATAGTTTAGTTCAATTTGAGTAGACAATAGCGGGGTTTTGGGGTTTTGGGGTTTTGGGGTTTTGGGG